TCCTTTACCGTTCTGTACACACGGTCTGGACACAGCGTTGCCAGTATTTCAGATTTTTAGTCGTCTTGCCAGATACACAGACAGACCACGTATATTTCCAGATTTTTTAAATTTGTTCCAGATTTTCCCAGATTTTTAAACATGTTGCTTTACAAATATTACTGCAATTGATTTACCCTCTAATAAAATAATAAAAAGCCAAACTTGCCACTTTAATTATTAAAAGCCATCAACGTTGGACATTATTGAAATTTTAAGGTAATTCTGAAAATAGTTCACAGTTAAGTGTGAGGCGAATTTTTTGTGAAATCAAAGGAGAATTTCAAGCTACTTCTGAGTAGAATTACATCCATCTTTGTGGGCTTCGGGGTCGTGCGGCGTCACCCTTCATTTAAGCGTATTGTGAGTGCCACGAAGTGAGGGTTCGATTCCCGCTCCAGCAGTGTAAATTTTCGCAACCTAAAAATTTCCCTACTGGTCTAATGGGTGTGGTGTGTTGTCTAGTGTTAAATATTCAGTCTGTGCCACCTCTGGTTGAAGACGGTGTCAATTGTCTTGTCAACTCTGATTGCATTTTGTCAATAAAGGAAATACAATCCGGAAGAAAAATCATAGAAAATTCAAATGATGAAACTTAAGGAGTATGCTGATACGAATCGTAAGAATAATTTCAATAGAATTCTGTCCAATGTTTCTATGGAGTTTAATTTTAATAAAATTTTAAGCGCAATTTCTTGGAGACTTTCAAAACCATTTTGGTAAAGAACTTGAGTACTTAGGTATTACTAAAAATGATTTCAAAGCAATTCTGACCTTACCTACAAAGCAGTTTAAAGGGAATTATCGGATAAGTTTGAGAAGAGTGTGACGGTCATTCTGAAGCGTCTACCAAGGAAATTGTTAAGAATATTTTAAGAATTTCATAGAGAAAAATGGACACAAAATTGAGCCAATTCTTTGGAATTATTACCAATTTGTTGTAGTTGTGGAATTGGAGAGTGATTTATAAGAGATTAAAGAGGTAATGCTAATGGTTCTAATAATCTTAGAATGTTACTGGAAAAGTTAACATATTTTCAAGATTATTTTAGGGGAACATAGAAAAGAAATATGATGGAATTCTACGATGATTCGAATTGAACTAAAAAAAAGGCGAAGATATTCTGCGAAGAGTTCCAAGTAAATTCAAACTAACAACAAAAAATCATGATCTGGGACGCAGGAAAAATTTAAATTACGGAATTTAGAATTCTTGAAAGATCCTGAGACTTCAAAAATGAAGCTATCAGACTTTAATTTTAGTAATATAATAGACACATTTCTTGGCAATAAAATTATTCGTTATTGTCATGCGAATAGTGGAGTTACCCGTAGTTTAGGTAAACTGTGTGTGAGTTAAACGATGTTAGGCTTTGATTCCCACTTCAGCCCGTAAATTTTGCTTCAAAATAAAATTGCCTACTGGTCTGCTGGGTGTTGTTTGTTGTATCATGTCAAGAATTAAATTGTAAATCTGATCAACCTCAGAGTAACATTAGAATTATTTAGAACTAATAAAAATTTTAAATTCTGGTACTGCATCAAATAGAAAAGACTACATCGACTATTAGTCAAAAAATCCATCCCATCAAATTTACTTGATTCTAGATAAAGTTACAGTTTAAAAAACAATTCTAACCATATTTTCTGCTGTGTTTTACCCACATTTAACTCAATTTTTGAAATGCTGTCAATACTTTTCAACTTTTGGATGATTTTAGCAATGCTAACAAGTTATTTGCTTTATATAATTTATTTAGACACGTAATTTATAACCATTCTAGTACTTTAAATAAATTCCAAATGATCATACTGACCTATTTTTACGGGAGATTGGCACAGCACTTTGATTTCAATAGCATTATGTTAAAAAGAGGATTTTTGGAGCATTCCAGATTTGATATTTTACCTGGTCCAGATTTTTCTGAAAATGACCTGGCAACGCTGGGACAGAGCAATGAATTGAATAGTGCAGTGCTTTCACACTCAGCCTAAGCAGTCAATAATTTTACCCTCTGGGAAGAAGTAAACAAAAACTCCTCGAGAGAGAGGGAGAGTGAACTTCAGCGAGAGGATGATTTCTAGACCAACAATTGAAATAGGCGGAACAACCAAACGATTCAAAATATACCCACGCAAATTAACAATACCATTCGATAAAGGAAGTTTTCTCTATCAGATGGTGGTGTTAGATTGCGTGGATGTGTTTTGATTCTCGAGAAATTTGCGATTAAAGCCATTGTTAACGTTTGATTGATCCGCCTATTTCAATTGTTGGTCTAGAATTTGACGTGAGGTGCACTTGTCGAGACTCAGGATGACTTTTTTTTGTTCGACGCAAGAAGCTCAGAGTTCACCCAGAGTGAGAGTAAAAGCGTAGATGTAACACTAAGACTAGTAGGTCCTGAAGAAACGTGCTGAACTTTTTGGCTTAGCTCTGGTACTATTATCCGTCCCAAGCTAATCGATTCACCCCTCGAAACATAGGAAAATCCACTAACCCCTCATTGTATCTGTCATACTTTCATAGCTAATCAAAATAAACATTGTGTAATACTAGCATTTTGACTAGAATGGGGTACGTTAATCGATTTGCTTGGGACCAATAGGCTAGTCAAATAGTGAGCCAATTTAAAATCGTTAGTTTCGTATTGATTGTTGGTAAAAGTGTGTAATAGAAAACATGAACATGAATGGCAGCAAACCTCACTCTCATTTTATCCCCCTTCGCTCACAATCTCTGAAGCTCAGTGGAATGATTTCTAGAGTAACATTTGAAATGGGCCTATGTCCAACACATAAACAAACCAGAAAATAAATTTTAAATTTTTCCGTCACTATTCAATTCATATTTAAGAAAATTAAAGTATTTTATACATTTATATTGTTCACAATAACAATAGTAACTGTATCTAAGCATACAACATCCAAAGTATGTAAAAACCTGTTAAAAATATATGAAAATCAATAACAATTTAATTTCATAAATTAATAAGTCTTTTTGTAAATCTTTCAATGGATAGGCCCTTTTTGTTAAGCCGTTGTGCTTGTCATCAGAAATGGTACGCCCTTTGCTAAGCCTTTTCGTAACGTCAAATAAATTCAAAGCAAATCATCGGCCCTGCCTCAAGCAGTAGGGCCTAGCTTTGGTTTGAACATTTTCAATCATCGGCCCTTCTGCGTCACTAGGCCTATCAATGAAATGAAATAAATTAATGGTTGGCCGTTTTAGCGTGCGGACCTATTAATGAATTGAAAAATTTCGTATAGGCCGTTTCGAAAATTGAGTTATTTTTAATGATTTTTCTCGATTATGCGGAACTTTCCTACATGATTAGTAGCTATCAAGCGGTGCTAAAGAATGGTATAAAAACCAGATTTGTTTACGTTTTGGACATAGGCCCATTTCAAATGTTACTCGAGATTTGGCAGTGGACATTTTACTCCTCAGAAAAATGCTACGCTCGGCTCATTTCAAACTTGCGAGCGAGGCTCCATCAAGCCTGTTGAGCACTCTTTAAACGGATTACTGTGAACGGAGCGAAAACAAACTGAACCGCCTTGACCGAACGCTCGACTGAGAGTGATTGTGTCCCGGTTTGAAACTATATATACTATTTGAATGTAATTTTTTTAAATATCGTTATAAATGAGACTTTCAGCCCTGGGCTGGTTCGTCTCCGGAACTGAATGTCTTTCTACAAAAGTTTCTTTGGTTATTTTTTTTTATCTGAAATGGAATTAGTTTTGGTTTATTTTTTGGTACAAATTCATTATTTACTCGTAAATTATACGGATAATGTTCAATGTTCTAAACCATCCACATTATCCTGGAGTGTAAAATTCTTGACAAAAAGGCTAAATCACCAGTCTTCCCTGTAGAAAATGTACAAACATATCCATAGCATCTAGATTCATCATTCTAGATTCCATCAGTTTCTATTAGCTGGAGTACTTTTGTAAAATGTAAACCTGGACATTTAATGTTGGTACCTGGAAAAAACCTGGAAGACTCAGGGAATTTAGTTTGAACTTTTAAGTTCCCACCCTGTTTCACGTGAGCAGTTTGGGGCGTTATAAATGCATTTTAAACCAGTTTTGGACAATTGGGTTCTTTATTTTGAAAATCATATAAAAGAGCTTCGATTTCTGAGCACAACGATATTTTTTAAAAGCCTATGGGTCTATCTCGATTTTAATTCACGATTTAAAGGAAAATATTAACTTCACTATTTGACACTCAACTTACAAATTTACAGATCGCTCCCATACAAAATCATGTCGAGGGGCGCTAAGATGGTGATTTTTGCTAATGTAAACGAACCTATTTGAAATTGCTCCCGTGTACCGTAATTCATGAAATTTTGGGTTTCGGATCTTCAGATTACGAATATGCATTTACCTCAATACCCACTTATATCGATTGGAATGGATAGAGCAGCATGCAGCAAATGAATGTAAATAAACAAACACTGCATATCCCAAGTAACATTGCAAGTTTTATCGAGGTTTAAAGAACTCTTCAAGGCTAAACCATGGCTTCAAGAGCGTTATAGAACCAACATTGTTGCATGCGTTACATCTAGAAAAAGTCTATAGAATCGTGGATGTTGCTTGGATTGTCGAGAATTCGTAAATTCTTCTATTTTATTCGTAAAAAGTTACGTCCTTAAACTTCACTGCAAAACTGGTCGGCGTTAAGTCGATTTTGTACCAAATCTGACAAAAATGAAATGTATCATTCCATTTTATATTTATTTTTGCTCTAACGCAACGCCGAGCAACTGTTCATTGTATGACGATACAAAAGCAAATATCTTAGCTGTCTTCTGTTTAATTTTTATTTATTTTTTTAATTTTTTGTTTTTCAAAAGTCTTGTTATGTTGATACATTTTTTCTAATCACTCGTTTTATTCTTTTATATTCCTATCTCCCTCAAAATCACCGTGTGCCACATCAGACTGCGGTCTTTCGGCGTTAAACCCATCCTAGACTACTCAGTAGAGGAAGATCTGTCCCAGGAGGAAGCAGAGAAGCGTGAAGTGGAGTAAGTACAGTTCACAGCATGGTCAAACGTTAATTGATGTTTGTTGATACTAATCGTTAGTAAGAAAAGTTGTGACCGTTCTGAAAGTCTAATTCTTATTAGAGTTTTAACCATCGTCGAAAAATGTGTCGTCTTCTATCTCCGATATTTCTTGCAAGGAACAACTAACACGTGGTATCTGTAGCAGGAGTAGACTATCACTTAATCCTATCAATGTGTCCGTCAGAATAGTAGATCCGATTTGGAGATTAGGCCGTAACAAATCGTCGTTGGAATCGGTAGCAGTCTAATATTGCACGGAAATTTCCCTTGTGCAAGATCAGGAGATAAAGGTGTCCCTTTGGCATGTGTCATTCTTTCAGGAATTTGAGAGTACAACTAATGAAGAGAATCGCAAGAATGAATTTTCCCATTCCTCGTCCCCGTGTGTGCAGCGAAAATCATTTAGGAAACCCTTCGACAATGCTTTTGGGTATTAGTGCCGAAAAGAGGACGGCAATCCATGTGCGCAGGTAGGTTGCAGGAGCCACAAACTTATACATATGGGCGTTTTGCAAGGATGGTGATCTTCTGTGGAAATTCTTCAATTGTCGATGAAGATTATGTTAGGAACTTATCCCGTCTAACGATTCCAACCAACAAAGAATCTACTTAAAGTTGCTTTCTTGTATAGAACCGTTGTTCTGATGTTTGCTTCTCTTCCGCAGGGCTTCTGTATCGTCCACCGGGACGAACCTGTCTGCTGAGGGCCTCTCCCTGCCCCAGTACAGCGTGGATAAAACGTTCGCCGATCGACGCTACAAAGTACAAAGTGCACGTACCTACTTCTATCTAAATGAAGCGACCTGCGAACGCAACATGGAGACATTCCTGGAATGTCTGGATGCCGTTAAAGGTTGGTGTTGAGTTTCATAAGCCCTGCATTTTTGCAGTCCATCATATGTAGAGTAGATAAGCTAAACAAAAATACTATTTTGGTACCCGAGCAGAACCATTTGGCGGTTGATGGTTGCCAAGAAATGTGGGATATGCGCAATAATGCATATTAAATGGCAAGCAAATACAGGTTAGGTAGAGCCATTTTGCGCAAACCTATTTCAGATTTTGGCACCGTGACAATTACGTCGTTCGTTCACTTCACCTTACACACCGAATGCATTCATTCTAAAGTTTTGATCACAGGATGAAGTCCAACGGGGATGCATTAGGTATTATATAACAACAATCACGTTTCAGCTCAATTGGGTAACGACTTCACATTTTTATTTCTTCATCCATCATGATTCACCATCGCCGTTTGTCGCATGGTAACGAAATATCATGTCCGCCTTGTGAAACGACGTACTGAATAGTGTCATGCAATTCTTCATCAGTTGAGCCAGACTAGTAGCTACGACAGCCAGCAAAAGCAAAATATAATCGGTTCGACCTTGAAAATTTAGATCTTCCCGAACCACTGGCACTGTGCACACCTCACATTTTGCTATATCTATATATTTGAAGCGACCGAATGGGTTAGAAACGAATGAGGGCATGACGGCGCGGTGTGTTCGATTGCTGTGAATAGGTTTGAAAAGTAAAATTTTAGTTTTTTTTTTTGCGGATCTCTGATCATGATACAGAAGTTCTATAGGGTAGATGTACCAGTCATGGATATACGTTCCTATTATGGTGTGCTCAGGATGGTAATTTTAATTTTATAATTGCCTAATTTTCCCGGTTCAAATCTAAAAACTAAACTTCTTACTAATACAAATTTCACCAAAAGTGCTCATATGATGTGACTTAAGGTATCACATGTTGTATCTTGACCCAAGCTAAAAACTGGCCACTTTCCGGGGATTTTAAAAACATAGCCAGATGTTGCCAGTGTGGCTCTGGGTACTTCAAATGGCTACCATTGAACTGGATTTTGAACTCTCATTTCATTTGAGGTGTCACATGATGGGTTTTATTCGTTTTAGGACGGATTTAGTCTCATGGCCCATACAAACCGGATCATATTTTGTCATATCTCCGGAACCAGTTGAACTGTTCAAAAAATATTCAACATCGTTCTATAGGATCTTTATACTTTCATTTATTGGTTATTGTGTCCTATCCGGTTCAGTGGTTGTCGAGAAAGTTCCCTAAATTCGTAATTTTCAAATTCATGAGACCATGGAACCTGTTGTTCTGTCCAATTCGGGTAAGTGGTTGTTGAGAAACACGACTTAGTTTCCTTAATCCGTGGTTTTCGGATCTTGCTCCGTCTATATCTCCGGAACAAGTTGACCAATTCCAAACATGTTTTATGAGACCATGAAACCTTTCATTTGGTGGTTGTTGCGTCCAATTCCGTTCAGTGGATGCCGAGAAACACGTCTTAAAATTTGTTTCGTTTTTCAGGTTTTTGAAAAATAAATATATTCAAGATCATAAAATGTTTTATATGTTTCAGGAGTATTTAAATTGTTCAAAGACTGTGAATTTACATTCTATATGTTTAAAATATAGAAAACTAGATTAGGTATCTTGAATTTTTAATTCCCAGGGGTAACAAAAATTATCCAAAACTCTAAAATGTATACCGAAGTTCCTAATTGTTCACGATCGACATTTTAAGTCTTAAACGCATTCAATTTTTTAAATGTTCATGATCTTTCCATCTGGACAATTTCCAACAATGAAATTTTGTCTTAAGCTGCGATCTAGAAAAGTGGTCTAGGTCCCAAAGTTATGAACATTTTTCTATGTTTGAGGTGTTGCAGAAGTTTCTATTCTTGAGAGGGATGGAGCAAAGTAAGAAGACGACAATAAACTACAGCGACTACAAATAAGAGAACTATAATTTTATTCAACTACTCATGGCTAACTTAGATCTACACTTAATATTAGACTGCAGCTCTTCACGTTGCTAAACGTATCGCTTCATCCTAGATCTTTAAAATTGTCAAAATTTGTCTAAATTGTTGACTTTGAAAATTTTTTCTGTGCCTCAATTTCGACTTCTAATCACTAATTCGCGATCTGCATCTAATATCAACATAGTAAATTGATTGTTTAAAAAATCGAGGTAGTCAAAGTAGTTCAGAGTGAAACGGAGGTTAGAATTGAACAGCCCAACCCAAGTAACAATTTTGGTTTTATGAGGGTTCTGTAGACCATGATTTAGACTTGTAGCATGCTTTAAACTCACTATAAAACTTGCAATGTTACTTGGGAAGTTACATTGCAAGTTTTATCGAGGTGTTATAGCATTTTAAAAGCCGTCTATACCACGATCTACAGAATCCTCATAATAGCACTGTACTTGCCATAATACATTGTTATTTGCTCTTGCTCATTCAGCTCATACTTACTTTTCGAGAACAAATTTATGGGATCCATAAAACATTTGTTTTATTTTCAAGAAGTTAAAAAAATACGCATGATGGGTTTGTAAGTTTATAACATTTCTCGAACTGGCCATCGCATTCAACGGAAGATTAGGAGCATGTCCTTCCGATCAATAAAAGTCACAATTGGTCACTTTTTTATTGTTTTAAAGTCACTATTTTCGTTTTTGTAGTCACTAAAGTCACTACTATTATATCACTTACCTACTACCAGTCCTGACCATGAATTTACTGAATTACGTGTGAAGAAATGTTCTAGAAAGTTTCTAGCTTTGGAAAAATTACTGCAGTTAAGAAAGACAAAGAAATTTCTAGAATTTTGGTTTCTTTTGTTTTGAGAAAAGAGAAAGTTCTTTCACTCAATAATTATCTCAAGTGCATTCAATTATCTTCTTTGAAATTCTTGTTGAAAATTCTTCAGATGATGCTTGGTATACTCTTCAAAATTACCTTAGTAGTCTTCCCTTTATGATATTGAAATTCTACTGAAAATTGCGTTGAAAATACACTCCCTTAAAATACTTTCAGAAATTCCATAAAGTTCTCTTCAGCTTTTATTTGGAACTTATCTCTGAATTCCTTTGGAACTGTCCTCAAAATATATTTGGAAATGCCCTCAGAATATGATTCCCATGGAATTCATCTCAATATTTCCTTGAAAATCTTTTTTTAATTCCCTTGGAATTCACCTCCAATTTTCCATAACATATTCCGCTAAAACACATTCAGGATTTCAAAACGTCTTTTCTTTGAATTCACCTCAAAGTTTCCCCCGATATTCTCCAGGAATCCTCCACATAAATGTTTTGAAATTATCACTAGAATTTGAAAGGAATTTGTCTTATAATTTCAAAAATATGTGGAAGATTTATTAATCCAAATCCTGATTCCTGAAAATTCCTTCAAGGCCCAACCCAACATTGATATTTATCTATAATAGTGTTTCCTGTAAATATTCACTATGGAATCGCTCATACTCGTTCACTCGTTCATGGCAGGAAACTTTATTTCAAAAAACTAGCAACTTTTTCACAACGGTAGTTATACGGGTTGTTCTTGGTTGGGAACAGATACCGAATAAAAAGAAGAATATTTTTCAACAGTTTGATAGATTTCGACAGAGTTTGGTGACGTTTGTCACGGAGGACGGCTTTAGTAGGAGATTGCAGATGCCGCCAACGAAGGTTCCAGCCGATTCCGAGGAAAATTCCAATCGTTTTCGACCCGGATGAGATTCCACATGATGTTGTCAAAAGTTTTTTTAACGTTCGCGACCGGATTTCGACGGAGTTTGTTGACATTCCCGACGAAGGAGATTCCTGCCACTTTATTAAGAGATTGCAGATGCAACCAATGAAGGTTCCAGCCGATTCCGACGGAGATTCCAATCGTTCTCAACCCGGATGAGGTTCCAAACGATTTCGTTGATTGTTTTTTGACGTTCGCCACCGGATTTCGACAGTTTGCTGACATTCCCGACGGAAGACTCTCCAGCCGCTTTAGTAGGAGATTGCAGATACCGCCAATGAATGATGTAGCGGATTCCGATGGAGATTCCAATCGTTTTCGACCCGGATGATACAATTTCGTCGAAAAATGTTTGACGTTCCCGAACGTATTTTGACGGAGTTTGCTAAAATTCCCGACGGAGGAGGTTCCTGTCGCTTTCGTAGGAGATTACAGATGCCGCCAACAAAGGTTCCAGCCGACCCGGATGAAATTCCACATGATTTTGTCGAAAGTTTGTTGCCGTTCACAATAGGATTGTGACGGAGTTCCCGACGGAGAAAGTTCCTGCTGCTTTAGTAGGAGCATGTAGGTGCCGCCAACGATGGTTCCAGGTTCTATGAACCTCTCGTAAGTTATATGACCCCCTCGAAGGTTCTATGAGATTATAAGATTTCGGAAGTTTTATGAACCTCTTGGAAGATCTATGAACCTCTCAGAAGTTCTATAAACCATTAGAAAGTTAGATGAGTACACCTCTTGAAAGATCTATGAACCTCTCGGAAGTTCTACTACCCTCGCAGAAGTTCAATGAACGTCTCGAAGGATCTATATATATCTCGGATGTTCTATAAACCTTGTAACAGTAGCCCTTTTTTGTTATAGTATTTTTGTTTGATATTTTGCTTTTATTTTTTCTCATCTATTTAATAAACTTTAATAATTTATTTTAATAGACCTAAATATTCAATTAAATTAAATATTTGTTTGATGTTCCGATTTCCCTTCAATTGCTCCTTTATTTCCAAATAATTTGAATTTAGTAAAAAAAAAATCAAATTGACCGATACGAAAAACCAACTGAATGAAACGAACCTATTCGAGTTGCATACAATTAATTCACAGTCGCGCAACTCTCGTAACTGTAATGCATCGTTTGCACAACCATCTATGAACAGCTTACTTTTCGTGCTCCCGTTATTCGGTTAGAAAAACCCTTCTAAACCACCTTTAGAATTGATTAGCAATGAGAAGGAATGATTTTTTTTTTTTTTTTTTTTTTTTCTTTATT